ATTTTTTTCAATTTTCCAACCGAAAATAGTTGTTTGCATCGAAATTATCGTTAAATGTATTCTCTTGAACCATGCCAGTGTTATTGAGTTGCTTGTGATCTTTTTTTTTTTGTTCTCACTCCCATCGAAACATTCCGTTGAGAGCGGTTTTGTTATCTAACTGAATCCCACGTGCAACCGGATGAATGTTGGTGGCAACGAAAAAATCTCGACACACGATGCCAATACCGAAAATTCTTGCATAAAATCTCACCAGCCACATGCAAAATAAACACCGAGAGAGTGAAAAAAGAACGTGAATCGAAGTGTTCTGCACCTACATTGCCATAACCCGATTTGCATGCTCAATCAATTTTTCAATTCAGCTTGCTTAAATTTCCATTTTGCCAATTTTCAAGAGGCGCAACTGTTTATGCAGACAATTTCATATTTCATATGCAAATTGCGTTTTTTTCCATTTCTTCCATTACGACGCTCCTGAATTGTTTCCTGTTTTATGGGCCGAAACATTTTTCAATTCCCAATCTCGTTAGTCCATATGCGCATTTTTTTTTCAAACGTTGTTTGCGTTTGATATTAAGACTGTGTTTTTTTTTGTGTTCACTGTTTGCAACTCTCGTTTCGATAAATTTACAAAAGTTGACAGCTGTTTGGATGCGCCACAGAAAAAATCATCGCAAAATCAAGATCATTCTATCGTGAGGAAGTGTCGTCTAAATGGTGAATAATTATTTATTCAAGCGCTAAATAGTGACCGTGGATAACGTAGTGCGCACTGAACGAGGCACAGGCGAAAAAAAACCATAGATTGAAAATGAATGCTGACCATTGATAACTTAGCGGCTAGACCACTCGCGCACACGTCTATCTCATATTCAAACTTGAAAACACGTCAACATAAATCACGAAAATGCATTTCCTTGGTCAAAATAAATCATTAGATTGGTTATACTCTGATTTTAGACCGTGATCAGAATGGAGGGGAATATGTGATAAAAAACAGCATTAGCTTGTTGTTTTTTTTCTGTATGTCCCTTAAACGACCAGCCATGAGTACTGTACACAGTGTATGCATAAAAAATGTGCCATTAAATTGTTGATGTTTAAATGCATTCAGATACGGTCCCTTGGCAACCCAACATCTCCATGTATGTATATATTCAAATCAGAGCGAGCCAACAAACTGTTGTTCTCTACCTTTCGATGTGGATGTCAGTGCAATGTAAACGGCATTTAGGAAATGCAGTCGCCTCTTTTGTGTATGCAAACATCTTGTGATTTATGCATTTTCGGATATATCGTGTGTGTTTTTTTTTCTGGCGTGTGATTTATGGATGGACAATGGAATTAACGGTGATAGATACAATGGTAAAAATGCGCTTAGAAGCATGCATTAACCATTCGGTCGGGGTACTTGACAATTTTATTTGTCGATCGTTTTTTTTGCTGTTTTGCATCGCTTGGCACATGGATTGTTGAAATGATAAATACTGTAAATTCGTCGCCGGTCTATCTTCCGCTGTTATGAAATGCACAAGATATATCGCTTTCTCGCTGGTCAGTATACATTTTTGAAATAAAAATGAGAAATATATCACATTTTCCACCCAAGTGATATACTAGTCAGATAAATTTTCATTAATTTTATTCCTATTGCATTCGTTTATGCTGCATGTTTTCAGAAAACCGTGCTCATTAAATCATAATTTAAATTTAATGGCCAAATTAGTGTTTTTTCTATCTGCTGTTCTCATTTGGGTTTTATTCCACAATTATGTCAGAGGCGTTAGAAAATGTAACACATCATTTGTTGTTCACATTTTTAATATGAAAACAAAGTGACTTTTTCTACAGCGCTGGTGAACCGTCATAAATTTACTTGGTTCGGATTTTACTCTGGCCATTTGGTGTTGAATTTTTGAAATTCCAATTTGGCGAGAGCCAAAGAGAGCTCTACGTACTCGACCACAAAATGACACAGCTAGCATAGAGACATAGTGAGCAAGCTCAACATAATTACTATTTTGCTGCAATTTAATCACAACCATAAATTCATTTACACATTTAATTTGTGCTCACCGAAATGTGGATGCAGCACAGCGAAAATAATGTTGGAATGGTTGCGGTCACAATGTATGTTTGTGGCTTAGGACGCTATTACAATAAACACTGTGTGTATGTGTGTATACGCGCCAAATGGCAAAGACATGCCATAGCAACGAAATAACAATTTATTAGCAGCTTGAAAGATAATCTCTTGTGCAGCGTGCGCGCTGCGCTCTCTGCAGAAAAGAGCATTTGCTTGGACGATATAATAATGTAAGTCGATATGTGAATATGCGTTCAGCTTGAGTATTTTTTGTGTCATTTTCAAATCATTTCCGACAAATTAAACATGACTCCCAAATTTCCTGTTACCGATTACGGAATATATGCGCATTTAGATCATTTCTTAAATTGAATAAATTGTACGCGAAGAAAGAACACGCTTATTGCACACATAAATTTCCATTACAACTAAGCGCGTGCGAAGAAATGCAAAAGTCCATTTAATCCGGCTGGCGATCAAGTTGTTGTTGTTGTTGTTGCTGCTGCTGCTGCTGCTGTCGTTATTTGAATCTCTGTGCGTCGTCGTACGTGAACACATGCAAAAATGGCAAAGAATAGTGTTACGTTAAAAAATGCTTCAAATCAACCGTTTAACTTTTTAAATTAATGCCATTGACATACGACGTGGCACGAGCGCACGAATCCATGATGCGCCCACTGCACGTTTGCTTCTTTTTTTGCTCTCCTCTCTCTCCATTCAACATTAATATGCGTCTTTGTGGAAAAAAATTATAAATTACTCAAATGAATTCATTTAAAATAATTATTAATTGTTGTAGAATGTGTAACAGCAAGCAGCAAAAAAAAAACATAAAAGACAATGAAAAAAGGCGAAGCGTGTGCTTGCGTTAATTCGTTGCTACGCTTGTTTTACGTTTTTGCACTTGTGCGCCGAACAAGTAATTTCACTTTCGATTTCATGTCGCTTCTTCGTCTTAGATAAATTCGTTACGGCCACATATGGAATGAAAGAAATTTATAGAAAATATTTCGCATTTTTATACAGAAAACAAAATACCAAATGGTCGCATACACAAAAAGGCCAAGTGGTAACTCATAAATTATTGGCTATCGGCGTTGGTTGGGCCATTATGCAAATCAATAGATCTCTTTCTTTATTCGATGCAAATACAACGACCGATCCAAATGAAATTTCTATTATTAAGATCACGCAATATAGCAGCGACGTTTTCAATTTATCGGCCGGCCCAAAAGAAGCAAACAATTTATGCGAATATAATATCTGTTATTAAAACGGCATGCATAAGAAGAAGAAAAAAACTAGAGTACAATAGAATGGCGAGTGAGATTGTGTGCGTGCGTGTTTGTCTGTCTCTGGTGTTGTACTCAGGCTGCCACAACAGTTGCAAGTGTAACGAAACGACACGTAATTATACATGGTTGTTATTTGCAAGCGCGACAGGTTTGTAATACATGCAGTGCACTCAGTTCAATTACTATTTGCCATAAATTGAAGTGATAACTGGCAGAAAAGAATTGGTGCAGTAGAAAAACGGAAAAAAGAGCAGCTAGCGCGTTCAACGGACACGAGAGAGAGAGAGACCACGCGCGAGCCAATGTCAACAAACATTGGAAAAACTCGCCGATGGAAAATTACGAGCACGAGATATTATGCGCATAGACATGCGGCTCTGCGGTTCAATTCTGCAATGAAATTGGCAACGCAAGCAACGACATGTTATTTTTACCGAGCTGGAAAAATGCTAGCACTCTATAGTTCGCAGTAAATTTTTCTCTCGCCGAACAATTTTCAATTTCGGCGGAATAGAGTTTGATTATCGACACAATGTTCTCGCGAACATGCGAAAACGAGAAGAAGGTAGGGGAGAACGAGAGAGCGTGCGGTTAATTTGTGTACCTTGTTGAATGGTGAATGGCCTTTGAGCGCGACTAATGAATTTAATGCCAATCGCGCGCAAAACGAATCGCTTGCCTCACACAACATTGCTGCACTTGTTGTACTATTATTGATTCGTTTGCATTCAGTTCGCATTTGGGCCACAGCAGATGCCGAGCATCTGGTTGATTTTATTCAAATTAATTAGCATCGTTCTGTGGGCGCTTGCCATCAAAAAGACTAATAGAACGGAAGAGAGGGAGAGAGAGAGAACGAGAGAAAATAACCAATTTCACCGTAAATTAATTTGCAACTCTCTTTTTGTTGCAATGTTCACTATGCACTTGCAACTATTTATGGAATGTCTGCACAAAACCAACGAAACCAAAATTAGTTCGCATTCAATTTGCATGCATATTCAACGAACATTTCATGTCACTCACATTTCAACCATGACCCTGTGCACGGAGTTTTTGCGTCTCATAGCCAGCCCAGTTGCTTCTGCTGCCGATGCTGCTGACGCACAAATACATTTTAGCTCTTTTGTTAGCACGGGGTTGTGCACCATCCATATCTACACATCTCCCTTCTATTGAGAGGAACTGTCTTCATGGACCTACCGCAACTATTCCAACCACTGGATTGTATTTCTGCCACAGCACAGCGATTTTTGCAGCAAACAAGCGAGCGCTCCCATCCGCATTATCATTATTCTCCTAATCTTGTTTTTACTTTGCGTAACGAATTTCGTTGAGATTCATCGCAACTGTAGCATCAGAGTATTCGGTAGACTGAAATGTTCACCGTTAGTTTTAATTAAAATAGAATGAAAAAAATTTGGTATTATTATTATTGTTTGTATAATGCCTTGTAAGCCACAACAAAAACAGCCACAGATTTGTAATGTAAAAGGCTAAACTTTTTTGTTGCCATCGTTTAAAGCGATTATTTTCTGTTATTTTTAAATTAAAACTGAGATAGGTTTTTTAACTGAAATGACAATTTTTCTTTTGTGTCCTCGTTCTATGCGCAGACGCCAATCGATGGGTGCTTGGACGACAGCTACCGTACAATCAGATCAACCGTTAAATAATGCACCATTGTTACGTTCACCGACGAAGACAAGCAGCGATGAACGCCTCAAAGTGGCTACCAACGATTTGTTTGAACTCTTGGAACGTGTACAGTGCTCCCGTTTAGATGATCAGCGATGCGTGCTACCTCCATACTTCTTACAGCAGGTAAGCAATCCACTCCCATTTTAAGCGTTCTAATTGTTGCAGCAGGTTTACGCTGTTTTTCATTATATTCACCCGATTACTCAACAGAATTCAAATAAAAAATTAACTGAACGAATGAGATTCGATTTGAAAAAAAAAACGGAATGAAATTCACATAAAAATAATTGAAAATGGTTGATTGAATATTTTTATATTGCGATTAAGGGAATAATGCTGAAAAAATTATAGTTTCAAGCGAAAATCAATTGCATTTTGATGATTCAACTGCAATTTTTGTGTAATTTCCATGCCATGTTTGTCATTTAACGCTCGGTGGAGCCAATATAATGATTAATTTAATAAAGCTCGACGTATAAAAAAACAGGTAATTACTGAAATGTGGCCAGTCATTCTGAAAATCAATTAAAATAAATGAGATGATGCAGTCACAAAACGTTTATTAAGTACATGGTTGCATGCACTTTTGTTTGTCACCTTGTGCCTGTGCTGTGCTGTTGACGTGTGTCAACACACAAACACACACATAACACCTTTTTTCCCCTTTAAATTGCATTAAATATGAGCCATATTTCAACGGTTGTGCATCAGTCAATGTCAGTCCATCTTCAATTGAATCATAAGTTTGTAATCGTAACGGAAAAATCACCAAAAATCATCGAGCAAATGCCGTTTTTATTTGCACATCCATCGATGGCGATTGAAGAACAAAAAAAACTAAATTCAAGTGTGTCAACAATGGAATCAAGCAATTTATCATGTTCAAGAGCACGTGCCATATTTATTCATTTTCTACAATTATTATGGACATAAATTAACGCTCTCTCAAAACACTCTTTGTTTGCACAGTGCTCATCGAAAAATTCAATTTGCCATTTCCAACTGTGTTTCCGCTAGCTAACTCCATATCATACAAATTCAAAAACAAAAGCCACTCCATTGTTTTACTTCTTTTCCTCGATTTTTCAATTCCACTAATTTTGTGTAACATTTATTTTTTTTGGTTCTTCTCCTCTTCCATTCGTGGTGTCCTATGACCGAAATCCTATTATTTTCTTGGTTGCACCGTTGCTCGCTCTCCAGTAGCGCACATGTACGTTTGTAAAACATCTGCCCATTTAATAGCGAATAGCGAAGATAACTTGAATGCACCACTGCTGTGCTTGCTCACTGTTTGGTTTGTGTTTTTGTGTGCATCGACCCTCGGGTATAGATATGTTTTGGAAGACGAAAAAAACACAGTGTCCCTATATGAACTAGTTAAATACAATCAATCGAAAATTCGGCAATCGATTAATCGTCCGAATAGACAATGAGCATCGGGAAAAAATTTCGACAGTTTCACAATGAACTTTGGCGCCGTTTACCCGAATTAAAGCAGTTTATCCGTCTCTATCGACACAACGTAGAGAAATCGCTTCGCACTGGTTTTAAGTCAAAACGCATAATTATTTTTCCTACTTTGTGGAAAAAACGTATACACACGGAATAACATTTGGGGTGTTTTCACAAAAATCCTTTTAAACACGCCGATTTCATCGAATTGTCAATCATTCGAGTTCATTGTTCCTGAATACATTTCCATTTTTCATACGGAAACATTCTTTTGCACCACACAAGAGAAAAAACTGCTTAAATCGTCCCTTTTATTCGTTTGCCTCGGATTTATCAGAATCATTTCACGAATTATCGATCAAATGTCAATTCTCATTTTACCGTAAAAAATCGCTTTAATCATAAAAAAATTGTGTAAGTCCATTAAGTTTGTCGCCATATATTTGCACCCATTTGAAAGAAGAGAATCGTGCACAATGATGCATAAAATATACACCGTTTTTCCGATTGATGAAAACATTCAACTTTTATTGATGGATTTGATGAGCGTGCCCGATGCGAGGGGGAATCTCTAACATATCACAGCTGAGTTTTTGTTCAGCATTTTGATGGAATTTAGATAACGTCCAAGCCATTTGACAATACACAAAAAAGAACCGGTGGAACAAAAACGACAAAACAAAGGAATCCGACACCGCAGCGATCGAGTTCATTAATTTTCGGAGTGAAAAATCTTCCAATGCATGAAAAAATTACCGAAAAAAAAAATGCTTTGGAGTGAGTTCATTGAATTCACATTGGGAAAAGATAGAGAGCCGAAAAAATATTGATCCGAATTTGTTTCACAGTCACAGGCATGGGACCACTTCCATTTGACCGAGATAGAAATTAATTGATGGGCGTTTATACATTTATTGAAGTGAATATTCACGGATAATCTTTTTTACTTGTTTCCGAATTATCAGTCGAAAGCATTTCCATTTTCCGTTGAAAGCGTGCTGAAAAAGCGCTTGTTAACGGTCGATTTGTTTGCTGATTTTTGAATGGTCTATGTTTCATTAATCATTATTCTAATAAAGAGCGCTTTGTCCACGCTCATATTACATGTCGGCTCACTGAAGAAGCATCTCTACGCATCATCCGTCAATCCAAGAACACAAAAAAGAGCTTCGTTCACTCCGAAGACAGATATAACATCGTTCGCGTGAAAAATATAAAGTTCTCGAAAATTAATTGAACAATTTGTTTTTTTGCTTCGTTTTTCAATTTCCGGACGCGGAAATTAATGAAGTTTCTGGTTTTTTGTTCGGTAACAACAGCAAAGTGACCTACTTTACGATTGGTTTTTTGTTGAGTAATTGTAATTTTAATTTCAGTTTGGTTTATTAATAATATGATGGAAAAAAAGGAATTCGAATAGCCGTCGGCCGCTTTGAAATTTCTCTTCATGGTCGAAAAAAAAAGAACCATGACAATTAATTCGAGAGAATAGCATCCACCCAGTGAAGCAGCATGACCACAAATACGGTCGGTCGAAGCTATGAGAACAAACAAAAGCATTCCACGGTGTTTTGCATGTCTCTGCTTCCTTTTTTTTATCCATCCCAATTATTTGAGTTCCAATGACGACATGTCCATCACTTCAATGCTTGTCAATAATTTGTATCAAGCGACACAATAAACCGAATGCTGCGAATGTACACAAAACGTTTTTTTTTTCACTAACAAAACAAATAGCCAGAAGAAATTGTGTGAGCGAGAGCAAACAAATATATTGGCACGTGGCATCTAACCATCGCTTAGATGGTGCACATTGTCCTTGTCCTTGTCATTGCCACTTTCATTCGATGTTTGGTTTTCGCTCCTGTTGCGTATGGCCCAATACATTGAGACCTAAGCGCGCCCAACAGAGTGCCGCTTCTATTTTAATGAACGAACTCCGCCGAAAGAAAACAAACAATGGAACGAACGACAGTCAGCAACTGAAGCCAGATAAAAAAAACACACAAATTGGTTAGATAATAACAGCTACTGTGTGTATTTTTTTCTCGTTTGATCCTTCATTGTTCCTTTGCATTGTTTGTTATTCATTTTGTGTAAACTTTTTTTTCTCGAGAATTGTTTACCGATCATGATCTCATGGTATGGCTAAAAATATTTTTTCGGCAGCTTGCGGGCGAACCTAATATCTTTGCCACAAGGGGATACGAAACGGCGTTGAATACCACTGTGTGCCTTCCGGAGTAATTGCTACTAAACCAACTCATTCTATTTACACAAGCTGATTTTTAAACTGTTGCAATATCCGATCTAATGGAGTCAAAGCAAGCGAATTGGTTAATAGACACAACCAAGTTTGGTCTAACATGACCCAAACATTGGCCCACGGCAATTTATATTTAGACAACATTTTATTCGAAATTAATTCGCTGGTGTCTGTCGAAAGAGTTGTTTGTCTTTGGTGTAATAAAAACAAAACGATTTCAAATCCCATCGCATTCAAGCCGTTCTTCTGCTTGGAACGAAACAGTAACTTTATTAATCGATGCAACGATAATATGCAAATCAATTGGTTTTTGAACACTTTTCTTGATCACACCCAAAAATGGGTGCATTAATCATGGTGCGTTAAAAGAGAAGATTCCCATGCTCAATTTTCAGCATCGATAGCATCACAAAGCCGTTAAGCACGACACAAAGGTTGTGGTTAAGGTTAATCCGTCACTATAAATCAAAGTTTCATGAGATCAGCATTTTGTAGGCAAATGGAATCATTTTGTCGCTTGTAAAACGAACATTGGATACTGGAAAAAGACGTTGAATCGCCAATCTTTTTTACTGAATTGATTTCAATCGAATGTAATTTGAAGACTCACTCGCGATGATTCTCCCAAATGCGGTTATCAAAAGAGAGATTTTTTTTTAATGTGACACTTTAATTAGCGTTGGTAGACACAGTGGATGACATTTGGTTTATGAGCCGCATCAAACCACTTGAAATGCGTTTGATTAGGTTTAATTGAAATATGTTTGGAATGAACAACATTTTCACTAAGCAACAGAACATATTGAATAATGTTCATACAAATTTCCAAATCGACTTTGATACATCGAGAGTTACCGATGTTTGGCTTCACACCGCAACACACCAGATGGCTAGGCTGGATTACGCACGCAAACAAATTAATTATGAAATGTGAAATGCATCCCGTGCTCCATGTGTTCGCATTCGTTCGCTGCTATCAACACATACACATCTAAATCCATCGATCACGTTTATCATGAAGTTTTTAGCCTTTTGATCCGTTATCGCACATTTGTGATGGCTGCAATTGCATGCTTCATTGCGGCAAAAAATATGGTAATTCTCCGGAAAACAATGTCACGTGTCGAAGTCAAATATATATTCTTTATGGCTTTATAACATCGCATTGACGTTGCCGTTACAGGTAAAACGGTGGCATTGGTGTGCATGATAAAACGGCAGTTATGACATGTTTCGCATACATTCGTCGAGTGTTTTCTTGTCAAATGACGATTTAATCATCGTCGCACACGCAAATTGGAAAATTAACCCAAATGCATATTATTACGAATTTCAGTTAGGCGCTGCTGATGCGATACAGTATTTTACCTGTGGCTTTAAAATGACACCTTCTCCCTTAAAT